TGAGTCCTGAGACCTTCGACATGATGACGTCGCCCCAGTGGTGCCCGGATGATCGTCTCATGAGTCTCGGTCTGACCTTCATGCGGGCTGAGCAGTATGGGCTGCGAAGCATCGGTCACGGAGGAGGCATCTCAGGCGGGTGGAACACACACATCGACGTATTCCCGTCCGAAGACCTCGCGGTGCTCGTGCACATCAACATCTCCTCGGACAGTTCAAACGAGATCTTCTCCAGGATCATACAGGCGGTGCTGGGCGCCCCGGGCGCAGACCTGTCCGCGTGCACGACAGACCCGGCGATGCTGGCGGCCGCTCCTGGCGTGTACGAGCCTCCGGCCGGCTTCCTGACCAGCTATCGGATTATCAGGGGCGCTGGAAGACTCCAGATCACGTCGAGCGACGGCGAGTTGGAGCTGCGTTCTAGGCGCGGACCCTGGCGCGAGGGCGCACGCCTTGCACAGCCCGATCCCGGCGACCCCACGTTCTTCATGCTCGACACCGGCGCGCCCGATCCGCCGAGGCTAGTGTTTACTCGCGACGGCCGCGGCGTGCCTACGACCATCCACATGGACCGGATGAGCTTCGTCAGGAACGACAGCCTCAGTCCGTGGACATGACGCCGGAACGACATCCCCCTCTCCCTCAGAGCCTGCCCCGTACTTGATACGGGGGTGAGGGTGAAAACCTACTCCTCTAAGCTGCCCCCGGCGCGAGCGCCTCGACCACCCGGACGTAGGAGTTCATGTCCGGCTCGTTGAGCACCAGCCTGATCTCGTCCACACCAACGTCGAAGAACGTCTGCATCTGGTCGCGGCACTCTTCGGGATTGCCGATGATAGTCATCGCGTCCACCATCTCGTCGGTGACCAGACGCGCTGCACCCTCCCTGTCCCGGGACAGGTAAGCTTCTCGGATCCTGTCGGCCTCCTCGCCAAACCCGATCCGGTGCATGTACTGGTGATAGAACACGCCCATGCCGCCGATGTAGAAAGCGATGTGCGGACGCTCGTCGTCCCGCGCGGCTGGAATGTCGTCAGTGACGTACACCGACACCTGAGGCGACAGCGCGATGTCGTCGAGCGAGCGGCCTGCGGACTCGGCTCCGGCCTTCAGCTCGGCTATCGCTGCGTCCATCCGGGACGGGCGCGAGGAAGATGGGCAGCCAGCCGTCGGCCAGCTCTCCGGTTAGTCGCAAGCTCGGAGGACTCAGGACGCGATGTAGATCGGTATCCGCTCCCGGTACGTCCTGAACCGGAGCCTGAATCGCTGGGTCTTGAAGAACTCCCCTTCGTGTCGATCCTCTCGCCAGCGATAGCCTTGCGGATGATGTCGATGTACTCACGCATCGCGTCAGCGGCTTGCGGAACTCTTCCCGTGGAAGTCCTCGATCACCAGCTGCCCGCTCGCGCCGAGTCCGAGAAAGAACCGGCCCTCTGACATCAGGTCCATGTTGCCCGCGGTCATCGCTATGTTCGACGGCGAACGCGCGAAGATCGGCACGATGCTTGTTCCGATCTTGATCCGCGACGTCACGGCCGCGATCTGCGCTAGCGACGTGAATGCGCGTCCTCGCCCCACGCTTCGCCCGTCGTTATACAGCTGTAACCCAGCCCGTCGGCGCGCTCGGCGAGGTCCAGCGTGTCCCTCCAGCTTCCCCCCGGCGGCCTCAGACCCATGATTCCTATGTCGCCCATGTTATGTCTAGTCTCCCCGGTCCTGCTCTGCCCCCGGCCTCCGCCGGGGCAGGCTGTTGTCGAATGTATGCTGTACTATAATGCGCCCCAACCGCAGATTGCACGTGTAGGGATTCATTAGCCCGGAATCCCCCACCGAGGGGTGGCGTTACAGCAGCCGAATGGGCGATGAGTGGCAAAGGGGGCGATGGTTCGGGCAGGACTTCGGGTAGATGGGTCCGGTGGCGGCCTTCAGCAGCCGCGTGGAGACCTTGTGGCCGTTTGCGAACGTTGGCAGGGCGAGATGGCGGGGAGAGGACGCAGCAAGAGACACTCTCGGACCGGGGTGGCGCGAGTTTGCGGGGCGGTTGGGTAGTCTGGTGGATGGGTCAGGCGCCGTCAGGCAGGAGATGGCAGGGCTCGCAACCGAGCGAGGGCGCGACTGAACTGGGTTTCCCAGGGCCAGCGCTGGGGAAGATGCAAAGTGAGGCGGCGCGCCTTGCGGGTGAGCCGTCCGGCCAGAGAGAAGAAGCGTCGTCGGAGGGTCTTGGTGGTTACAACCTGCTGGCCCAGACCGATGCGCGCTGTCCAGCGGGCCAGGTTATGGGCCATCACCTGGACGGCCAGCCAGGCGGCGTTGGCGGCGAAGCGTCCTGAGGGGAGATGGTTGAGGCCCACGCCGTACTTGAGGTCTCTTATGGCGTTCTCGATCTCGGCGTGGCGGCGATGGTCAGCCTCCAGTTCCAGGGTATCCCCCTCCCGGTCGGTGATGAAGCCGTGATAGCTGTAGCTGGCGAAGAGTGCCAGTTGGGAGCCGGGCGTGGGCTTCACCCTGCGGACGATGAGCCGCACCGGGGTGGCGTCGGGCTCACCCCGGAAGGGGGTGTAGGTGGTCTCGGCCACGTCGGCGGCACCGTCCATCCAGTAGGGGATCGGCGTCCAGTCCTGCTCCGGTATCGTCTCAATCAGCTCCCTCAGACGAGCGTGCTGGCGGATGGTGATGGAGAAGCGCACATCCATCTCGCGGCAGACCGCGACCAAGGCGTGGGCATAGAAGCCGCTGTCGGCGCGCACCGTGAGTTGTCCTGTGGCTCCGGCATGGCGCACTCGCCCCACCGTCTCACGCAGGAAGTGGGCGGCACCCCGAACGGTGTTGGCGCGACCCTCGCGCAGCCGGGACATCAGCACGTCACCGGTTCCGGCGGCGACGGCCAGCAGCGGGTGATAGCCCCGCTGGCCGGTGTAGCTGTGGTGGCGGGCACCCTCCTTGGCCAGTCCGTAGGTTTCGCAGATGGTGGAGTCCAGGTCGATGGTCAACGGCCCGTCACCGGGTCCGGCACCAGCGGCCCAGGCCCGCGACAGCAGCTCCCGGCTCACCCGATCCAACTGGCGCACGTGCCCCCACCGGAAGCTGCGCAGGAAGGTCCCCAGGGTGGATGGCGCCTTGAGCGTGCAGCCGACGGCTCCAGCCGTCCCCCCGGTACGCAACACGTCCGCGTCGTCAATACAGTCTCCCCCGGCCAGTGCAGACGCAGCCAGTGTCATCACCTTGTCTCCCGTGTTCGCCCGCCCCGGCGCATTCCCCAGGTCAACGTGGTTGTCGACCAGTTCACCCAGACCCAGGTGCTGGGCCAGGGTGGCCGGAAGAATCAGCCCGGCGTTTGCCATCAGCCGATGATCGTCGAAGGCGATTTTGATGCGGTCGGGGTGATTGCGTGGTAGCATCTATTGGGTGCTCCCTTCCTGGGGTCGGTTTGGTCTTACAAAACCATTATCCCAGATTCAAAGGAGCACCTTCTTGCCGCTTCAGGACACTCACCCAACCCCCGCCTTCGGTGGATTCGGGTTTATACTTGGCTCGCACGTGTGTCAATGACCCGAAATTGCCCAGAGTTTTTTCCAGATTTGTAAGCACCACCAGTGATAGGACTATCTGAAAAACACATGAGTGGACCAGACCGACGGCGGAACTCAGCGTACATCGATAGATCGACAGCGAACAGAGAGGAATGGGCATGGACCGAAGATCGTGCAACCGCCCGGCTAAAGCGATTGAAAGTGATCGTGACACGGCCTCCGGCGGGGGCCGATATCCAACCCGTGTCCGGGTACTAACAGCCACCTCATGCTCGATTGTCCGCTAACTGGCCGGGAAGTCCTGCGTTCTGGTCTGACAGACTTCGACCCAGGCTGACTCAGGACTCTCTCTGGCGGAATGCGCCCCGTATGGTCTCGTCCGGGAAAAGGTTCGGGACCTCACCGGTGGCGGCGTAGCAATAGAGAGCCGCCTTGTAGATGCCATCCATCGTCGCGAATAGCAGAGCAACTCCGACGACCAGCACCACCCCGCTTCCAATCGTTGCGGCTATGCCGATACCTCCCAGTGGCGAGAGGACGAAAAACAGCAGCACTATGATACCGGCGGCGACCAGGTAGGCCGCCAACGCCGCTATGCCCAGACCGAAGTTGCCCGCCACCTGCTCTCCCCAGGTGCGGCGGAGCATTGAGAGCGACGTCTTGAAAGCATCGCCCAGTGGTCTGCGCTCTATCACTATCAGTGGCACAACGAAGTATGTGAGGAGCGTCCACGCGGCTCCCAGCAGGGAGATGACTATCTGGCTGACGATTCCCAGGATGCCTCCGCGCTCGCGCGCCTGACCCGCCAGTATGCTCAGAATCAGCCCGACGGTTCCGGCAACGACGGCCCACATGAAAATGGTGATGACCCGGTACCACGCCCCTCTCAGTCCGGAGCGGATGTTCGGGTCTCCCCCTGCCAGCCTCTCGTGGGCGGCATACACGAGGGCGCAGTTGAAGAATATGATCACGAAGTAGGTCAGAATATAGAATGCAAGTGCGAGGACGATGTCGCCAACGCCAAGTCCTCCGGCTCCAAGCCGATCAAGCGCGCCGATTCCCAACCCGACGCCCAGGAAGGTCAGCAACACGACTACTACACCGATCGAGGAAAAGACCGGAAAGAAGACAAGCTCCTTGTCAGCCCCCAGGACGCGAAGACAGAGCTTGGCGAGCCTGAAACTCCTGCGGATCGTTTCGAACATGTCGCACCTCCCATTGCGCGCGGTACGTCCCAACTGCTGGTCCGCCTCTTCACAAGTGTCGAATGGAGCGTGGTGGCTGTCAATAGCGGAAGGGATGATCGACAGCGGAAGGGATGATCGACTGTACGGTCGCATCGCTTTGCGAGGAGAGAATTGCGGCCAAGTTCTTCTGGTGGGTTGGCAACTTTTCCGAGGTACAGTCGTTATATTTGGCAGGATTGCGTGCAGAGACCGTACGAGTCGGCGCACGATCTGGATAGCATTGATGTCAGACTCGTTCGACGCCGATGGGGAGAAGATCGCCATCATGGACACGCACGTGCCCAACGCGTTCGCCACCGGCAGGAACCCAGGCAACGCGGTCGAGGCCGTCCTCGATCATGAGATGGCTCACGTTAAGAACCGCGAGTACTCCGCCGACCGCGGGGGCGCTGTTGTAACCGGCACGCCGATGCAGCTCGCCTCGGCACTGGCGAAGATCAGCAACGATATGTATCGTATCCCGGACGAGGATCTGCGCGACGTTAGGCACGCCAGCGCATTCATGTTCGTGCCCGCTCTCTCGGGGAACGGTATAGCGAGACTGTTCTCCAGTCATCCGCCCACCGAGAAGCGCATTGAGCGGCTCCAGAACATGCAGCGCGAGCTGGAGCGCAGTAGGCAATTCCGTATTTCCCTCTCCCTGGATGCGTGAGGGACGGAACGAGGGTGAGACCTCTTGGGTATCTTCAGTGCGATATTCGGGCACACCAAGCTAACGACGCCGGACCGAGAACAGTTCTTCTCGATCATAGGGGCGGCGCATAATCTGGAGGCCAGAACCGAACTGCGGCCGACGTACAAGGCGGGCGTAGTGGTCAATCCTGTCGAGTCCACGTACTTCGAAAACCTGGACTCCGAGATGCGCACTTTGCTGGACGTGAGTGACTGCGCGACCGGCACCCGATTCGAGGTCGGAGACGACGAATTCGGCACACGATGGGTTGTGCTCGACGACCCGCACTTCGAGAATCTGGTTAGCCTGATCCACACGATCACCGAGACCATAGTCGATCACGGATTCTCGGACCGGCTGCTGGCCGCGGTGTTCGGGTTCGAGTTCCACGGCTGTCCAGCCTACTGGCTGTACAACTACAAAGCAGGACGGTTCTACCCGTTCGTACCGACGTCGGACCGCGAGCGCGACTACGCCACCGAGATGCGAATCGGCGAGATCATGAGCAAGGAAAAGATCCCGGTCCAGCGAAAGCTGGAGAACTGGTACGCTCTCTGGGGCATACCGTTCTAGTGCTGCGCCAGATCAAGGCGGACAGGAATAATTCCGCCCAACCGTCATACCGCCCCTAAACCCACACCGGCGGATGGCCGTATCCAGCTTGAGAGGGCTTCCCGTCGCTAGCCATCCCTCGGCGGCAGCGACAGTCCCTCCGCCGCAATCGTCAATCCCGCGAAAGCGGGAATCCACTCCGGGGCTAGCGTCTGGGGACTACCCTTCTCTCGGCGGCAGCGACAGTCCCTCGATGAACTCCAGGTTGGGCAACTTGCCAAGCTCAGACGGAGCAAGCCTGAGCTTTGTGTGGACCTGCTACCCCCGCCAGGATCACGTAGTCGAGAGCCTGAAGGTTCGCGTCGACGTAAACGGGCAGGTCGGAAGGCAGTCCGAATGGGGTGACGCCCCCGATCATCATGCCCGTGATCTCCATGGTCTCATCCGCTCCGGCGAACGATGCGCGCGACACTTCCATCAGCCCCTTGACGCGCTTGTTGACGTCGAGCCTGTCGGTGGCCGCCACTATGCAGGCGCAGTGCTTCTTCTGGCCCCGCTTGGATGCCACGACAATCGTGTTGCCCGAATTCTCCAGCGGGAAGCCGTATTTCTCACAGAACTGCGCCGTATCGGCAAAGTCGGGGTCGATCTCGAATACTCTCGTAATCGACGCCAAGCGACTGTAGCTGAGAGACGACACCATTTTCGATCAACTCGGATGACTGCACTTCTGGAACCCCCTGCTCGGACGTTGTTGATTTGGGTCATTATAGCGCGAGCTAGAACTATCGCGGACCACGAATCGTCTCTGTCCGCATGTAGGTGGGTCTGGTTTATCTCTCATTGGCCACACCATGACGAATCCCAATTCGCCAGGTCTGCATCTTGAGAATCGTCAAAGTGATCCACGGCTATCCGATGCGTTACAACGCAGGATCGGAGGTGTATTCTCAAGGTCTGGCCCAGGCTCTCGCCGACCGCCACGAGGTGCACGTGTTCACCAGGCAGGAGAACGCTTTTCTGCCAGAGTACGTTGTCCTCCGTGAACACGACCCGTCAGACCCTCGAATCACGCTCCACTTGATAAACATGGCCCGGGCCAGGGACGGGTACAGGCACACAGCCGTCGACGACGCATTTGGCGAGTTGCTGGACGATGTCCGCCCCGATGTCGTCCACATCGGGCACCTCAACCATCTCTCCACTTCGCTAGTGTTCCAGGCGAGGGATCGGCGTATTCCGGTCGTGTTCACCTTCACGACAATTGGTTGATGTGTCCGAGAGGCCAGTTCATCCAGATGTACCCGGAGGATCCCTCGGATACATGGTCTGTCTGCGATGGTCAGAATGACAGGAAGTGCGCAGTACGTTGCTACGTCCGCTACTTCTCTGGGGGCGTGAGCGAGTATGAGGTCGACGCCGCGTATTGGACAGGATGGGTCGGGAGGAGAATGGCCCACATCAGGGAGGTCCGCGACGCGGTCGACGTGTTCATCGCCCCGGCCAGATACCTGATGGCGCGGTTCAGGGACGAGTTCGGCATCCCTGAAGAAAAGCTTACCTACCTGGACTACGGCTTCCACAGAGAGCGCATGGAGGGCCGAAGCAGGCCCACCGATGAACCGTTCACGTTCGGTTACATAGGGACTCATATCGCCGCAAAGGGTGTGGACCACCTCATCGAGTCCTTTGGTCGAGTGTCCGGCGAAGCCGTGCTCAGGATCTGGGGTCGCGACCGCGGAGTGGAGACAGCGGGGCTGAAGTCGTTGGCTGAGAGTCTGCCCGGCTCGGCAGCGAAGCGCATCGAGTGGATGGCTGAGTACCGGAACCCGGAAATCGTCTCAGAGGTGTTCGATCGCTGCGACGCGATCGTCGTGCCGTCCATCTGGGCCGAGAACTCTCCGCTGGTAATACATGAAGCTCTCCAGGCTGGCGTGCCGGTTATCACGGCCGACTATGGCGGTATGGCAGAGTATGTCCATCACGAACGCAATGGGCTGCTCTTCGCCCATCGGGACCCTGTGTCGTTGTCGGAGCAGATGCAGAGAATTGCTGACGATCCGGATCTGGCAAGGCAGCTGGGCAGCAGGGGCTATCTGCAGTCGGAGGATGGAAACGTCCCGGACATGGCCGAGCATGCACTCTCAATAGAGACTATTACGATTGAAACCTGGGTCCAGGAGCGGAAGATGGACCACAGAAACGTTCGCAGGACAGGTTGAACGACCGCCGTCAGCTCGGGGGACCCCAAGACGCTGGGTCGTACAGGGGCCCTTGGCGGATCACGTTCGACACAAACCCCGATGACTGTAACCTGCACTGCATTATGTGCGAGGACCACTCGCAGTACAGCACGACCCAGATCGATCGCAGGAGGGCAGGGCGTCCCAAGCGCCGGATGGATATCGCGTTGATCCGGCGTGTGCTCGAGGAATCCGAGGACACGGGCCTCCGGGAGATAATACCCTCGACCATGGGCGAGCCGCTGCTGTACCGGCACTTCGATGAGATCATCGACCTATGCGCCCGGTATGGGGTTAAGCTCAACCTGACTACCAACGGCACTTTTCCGCAGAGGGGCGCGAGGTCGTGGGCCGAGCGCATTGTGCCCGTAACGTCCGACGTGAAGGTGTCCTGGAACGGCTCGACTCGAAAGACCCATGAAAGCGTCATGCTGGGCTCGAGCTGGGACACAGTCCTGGACAACGTAAAGGATTTTATTGAGGTCAGGGACGCTCACGCCGATAGCGGCGGGAACCGCTGCCGGGTGACGTTCCAACTTACGTTCATGGAGATCAATGTACGAGAGCTCCCATGCATCGTTCAGCTGGCGGCGGAGCTAGGGGTGGACCGAGTGAAGGGGCACCACCTGTGGGTGCACTTCAGCCAGATGCGTGGGCAGTCGATGCGCAGAAACCCGGAAGCTATTGGCCTGTGGAACGCCGTGGTCGACGAGGCGCATAAGGCGGCCGAGTTGCACAGACTTCCATCCGGCAAAGCAAAAACGTGTGGCTCTGGAGGAGAAATCTCAGGCTCGGCGAGAGCGGCAACGGGGACATCGCTTCCGGAGCGGAGTGCCCGTTCCTCGGTCAGGAGGCATCGGTTTGGGGTGGCCTCTGACGGCAGGTTCAACCCGTGCTGCGCTCCGGACGCGCTGCGGCGCACCCTTGGCGAGTTTGGCAATCTCAACAGCATGGGCCTGCGGAAATCTGGGAAGGACCCGCATACAGGGACCTCCAGACCAATTACTTGCAGAATCCTCTCTGTCGCGGCTGCAATATGCGGAGGCCGGCAGGCTCGTGAACGGAACATGGCGCGACTATACGATATCTGCGGACGCCTCTCATCACGTCGTTCAGGGGCGTCCAGCTTATCGCTCCAGATTCATCGAGGTCCAGAAGTTCCACGAGCCCGGTCTCGCACCAGTTAGAGATGCCTCCGGCGCGTTCCATGTCACACTAGATGGACATCCTGCGTATGAGTCGCATTACATTCGCACTTTCGGCTTCTATGAAGGTCGCGCAGAGTACAGGTCAGGAGACGGATGGCTCCACATCCTGCCCGACGGGACTCGACTCGACTCGGAGCTGTACGCATGGTGCGGCAACTTCCGGGAGCACCGCTGCACCGTTCGCCTCCCAGATGGCAGCTACTTCCATATAGCCGCAGATGGCGCTCCGGCCTACGAAGAGCGCTACAGCTACGCCGGGGACTTCAGGGATGGCATCGCCGTAGTCCAGAGGCCGGACGGGATGCACACCCACATAGACTCATCCGGGAACCATATCCATGGCCGTTGGTTCCTCGATCTCGATGTATACCATAAGGGCCACGCCCGCGCTTGTGACTCGCTCGGATGGCATCACGTAGATACGGAAGGTGAGCAGCTGTACGGCAGGCGGCTCAGGAACGTGGAGCCGTTCTACAACGGACAGGCCAGGGTGGAGGGCTTCGATGGCTCGCTGTCCGTGATAAACGAGTCGGGCGAGAACGTAATTGAGCTCAGGAAGCAGTCACGTTCGCCTCTTGAGGAGTTGTCGGGCGAGATGGTCGGTCTGTGGAGGACCCAGACCATCCGGGCCGCGGTCGAACTTGGGGTGTTCGAGTCGCTGCCATCGCCAGTCGAGACAATCGAGCGCGGTCTGAGGCTCGCTCCAACGCTAGGAGTCAGATTGATGAGCGCCCTGATGGAGATGGGTCTCGTCCGGCGGGACGCCGATGGCATGTACCATCCCACCGACCGGGGATCCTACCTTGAGCGGGCACATCCACTCTCTCTGGCCGATGCGGCCCCACACTGGGGTAAGGAGTCATATGCCGCATGGGCTGGCATCGTTGACTCTCTTCGGACTGGAATGTCGGGCTTCGAGAGTGTGTACGGCAGCAGCTTCTTCGACTGGGTACGAGACAGCCCCGACGATCTGAATGCGTATCAGAACGCGATGTCCATCTACGCCAGGCACGATTATCGCACCTTTGCCGAGTCCGTTGACTTCAGCGTTCATCGGAGTGTCCTTGATGCTGGCGGAGGAAGGGGTGAAGGGTGATCTGGTTTCGGGATCCTGCGTGTTTTTCCATGCGCCAATCTGTCGGGCATTGTATTGGACATGCCCGAGGCAGTCGCTGCCTTCGATGTCCCGGAAGACCTCAATGGTCGCTGTCGCTTCGTCGGAGCAGACATCTTCTCAAAGTGGCCGGTATCGTCTGATGCAGTGATCTTGGCAAGAGTGCTGCACGACTGGCCGGACCCGGACGCGCTGAGGATTTTTTTGAGAAGAGACCCGGGAGTCGATGCGCCAATGAATGCTCTAGTCTTGGAGATGCTCAAGGACGAACAGACCGGCTCCGGCAGTTTGCTTGATCTACACATGCTTGTGATGACGAGAGGGACCGAACGGACTGAGGCGCAGTTCAGAGAGCTGCTGAGCCAGTCCGGTTTCAGGATGCTGGACGTGGTGCCGACAGAGTCCGTGAGCTCCGTGATCCGCGCCGCGGCGCTATGAGCTGCAATATTCCGGTCACCCAGATCTTGGAGGCTCTCACCGCCGTTCCTGAGTCAGCGGGTGCCGCGCTGGTGCTGAGGCATGCCGAGCGAGGCGAGATTCCGACGGGCACGTTCGGCGTTGACGTATCTATTACCGCCAACGGAGTTGTCTCCGCACGTCGCCTCGGAGAGATGCTGTCAGGCAGAAGACGGGTAAGCGTCACATCAAGTCCGGTGCCGAGGTGTGTCCAGACTGCTGAGGCGATACTTCAAGGTGCGGGCCGCAATATCGACGTTGTACTTGATCGTCGATTGGGAGACCCTGGCCCGTTCGTCGAGGACCCCGAGGTCGCTGGACCGCTCTTCTTGAAGAGCGACGTGCTCGACATTGTGCGCCATCAACTGTCAGACTCCGAGCCGACACCCGGAATGCGTCCTACGTCCGATGGCGTCAGGATGCTCCTCGATCTCGTCGCAACCGGGCTGGAGTCACGGGGACTGCTGAATGCGTACGTGACCCACGACTCCATTCTGATCGTGCTGGTGGCGCGGCTGTTCGGGATGTCGATAGATGAAGTTGGCTGTCCCAATTACCTTGACGGGTTACTGCTTTGGAGATCGTGTGGACGCCTACAAGCGGCTTGGCGAGGAATCCACAAGTCCCTTGATCCACTTGCCAGTTAGCTGGATCGCCTGCTCCGGGTCGATCTTGGGAGAGTAACCGAGCAACTTCCGTGCCTTCTCTGTGCTATACGCCTCCCGCTGACCGTCCTCGCCTGGACGGTACTCGACGTGTTCGATCGGGACACCTGTCCCGGTGATGTCCCGGCATACCCTCGCGAGCTCGTCGACAGTGTGCTCCCGACCACTGCCAACGAAGAACTTCTGCCCGACGACATCAGCGGCAGGAGCCTGGATCGCCAGCATCCACGCCTTCACTGCGTCGTCGATGTAGGACAGGTCGCGTGTCTGGCGGCCACCCTCAACGACGATGGGCTGCCGTGAAGTGCGTTCCACAGCCACTTGAAGATGAATACCTCCCGGCGCATGTTGGGACCGATAACAACCCCCGTAGTCATCACGACCGACGGGACGCCGTAGCACCGGTGCCACGACCACATGGCAAGCTCGGCAGCGGCCTTGGAAAATCCGTACGGGTTGTGAGGAGTCAGCGGGTGGTCTTCGTCAAGGGGGGTGTACAGGGGTCGTCCGATCTCGTTGCCGGAACCCGCGAAGACCAGCTTGGATACACAGTCTGCGTGACGTACCGCCTCCAGCAGCGCGACAGTGCCTTCGATGTTCTGCATCACGGTGTAGCGGGGCGACTCGAACGCGAAGGGAGTATCGGGCTGCGCCGCCATGTGCACCACTATGGAGTGGCCCTCTACGTCTCCGGGTTGGATGTCCTGGACGCTCTTCCACAGATAGCTGAAGCTGGGATTGCACAGCTCCATTTGCAGCAGCGCCGCGTGGCTGGGCGGCGCTATGTCCAGGCCGGTTACACTGTATCCACGGTGCAGCAGGGCCCTCGTCAGGCTGGAACCGCCAAAACCCGCAGCCCCGGTTATGAGGACGTCCGACACCGCTAAATCGGCGGTCTGCGCGTGTGCCACTCAGTCGCCTGCTCGTAAGTGTGGGCCACTCTCAATAGGGTCGCCTCGTCGAAGGGCGTTCCAGCGATTTGCATTGCCAGGGGCAGCTCGACGCCGTCCTCGGTGGTGAACCCGCTGCAGATTGAAAGCGCGGGGCCGCTGACCATGCTGAACAGGCCCCTGAAGCTGGCGTCGTTAAGCCACGACGCGGCTTCGCGTTCGGTGTTTATGCCCGCCGTGAGGTCCATCACCTGTGGCGGAGCGGGCGACGTCGGCATCAGCAGCACGTCCACGCTCTCGAGCGCCTCAAGCGTCTGGGCACGGATCATAGAGCGCATCTTCTGTGCCTTGTTGTACACCATCCCGGGAATGAGATCTGCGGTCATGAGCTGTACCCTGATGTTGGGGTGGAAGTCGTCCGCTCTTTCGCGAATCCACTCCGGGTGCAGGCCGGCCCGTTCGACCGCGCTGATGGTGCGGCTCGCCAGTCCCGCCAGAGGAGAGAGAGGTAGCGACACCTGTTGCACGTCAGCGCCAAGCTCGGTCAGTACATCTGTGGCGACACTTATCGCGTCAAGCGTGGCGGACGTGGCCGGGGAGACCTCCGGATCGGTAAACTCGCGCACCAGACCGATCTTCAGGCCGGATATTCCGCCTCCTAGAGCCGACGCGTAGTCCGGGACAGGTGTGTCCCATGTGTACGGGTCGCGCGGATCGTACCCGGCGATTGCGCCGATGGTCGCAGCGCAGTCTTCGACCGTCCGGGAGATCGGACCGATGGTGTCGAGCGACCAGGACGCGCCATCCACTCCGTACCGGCTGACCCGGCCCCACGACGGACGAAGGCCCACCAGTCCGCAATTGGCCGCCGGACCTCGTACCGACCCGCCCGTATCCTCTCCGAGCGAGGTGGCGCACATGAACGCTGCCGTCGCCGCGCCTGACCCCGTGCTGGACGTCCCGGGATTGCGGGGCGGGTCCCAGGGGTTGCCGGTGACCCCGAACGCGGAGGTTATCGGGTCGCCGAACGCCAGCTCCGTCATGTTCAGCTTGCCGATTATCACCGCGCCCGCGCGCTTGAGGTTGCGGACGACGGTGGCGTCCTCGTCCGGAACGAAGTCCGCCCTGAGCTTCGACGCGCTGGTAGTGAGGATGCCTGCGGTGTGAATCTGATCCTTCACCCCTACAGGGACGCCATGCAGCGGACCTTTGTCGACTCCTGCGGAGATCTCGGACTCCGCCTGCCGCGCGGACTCCATGGCCTCATCGGCGAGTACGGTTATGAATGCGTTGAGCGTGGGCTCCACCTCTTCGATGCGGTCCAGGTAGGCTTCGGTCGCTTCAACAGGGGAAATCTCCCCAGACTTGATTCGGCGTCCCAACTCCGTCGCGGACAGGTAGATGATGTCTCTATCGGCCATCTCTTACTCCTGAGCTGACTGCTCCTGTGGCGGGATTATAGGCAGAGGCTCCTGGGAGTTCAGGCCGGGTATGTCGACCTGGTCCATCCCTTCCAGGATGGCGTTCAGGCTGTGGCGTACCTGCGTCAACTCCGGCTCGTGTATTTCGAGGTCGACCGCCTTCGCGATGGCCAGCACCTCTTCGTTAGTCAGGCTGCTCATTGATTACCTCCTGTCGATGGAGTCCGGCTGTGTCGTCTCCAAGCATACATCACGGGCGCTATCCTGACTCGACCCACCTGTCGTACATGTCCTGTAGCTCGGCGGTCAGCCTTTCGAGCTGGCGCTGGGCGCGGCGTCCCTGCCTCATCTGACGATTGGCGAACGCCTGGGTCATCTCATCTTCGAGGCTGAGCTTCCTGGCCTCGGCCTCCTGTATACGTCGCTCCAGGTCCACCTGCTCCTGGCGGTTATGCGCCCGGCGGACCCTGTCCGACGCAGATCTGCGACGACGCCTGGACACGCGCCCGACCACTCCGCCGTCTGTCGGTCTTGTGGCTCTCCAGAACTCGCTGAAGCCGCCCGGGTGCGAGACCAGCTTACGGTCTCGAATCTCCACCACGCGCTGAGCCAGCTTGTCCAGGAAGTACCTGTCGTGGGAGACGATCAGCAGCGTACCCTGGAACTCCTCCAACGCCTCTTCTACTGCCTCCTGGGACGGGATGTCCATGTGATTGGTCGGTTCGTCCAGGATCAGCAGGTTAGGCTTCATAGCCATCAGGCGCGCGATCTGTAGCCGGTTCCGCTCGCCGCCGGACAGGTCTCCGACCGTCTTGTCCATGTCTTCGTGATCGAACAGCAGCGCGCTCAGCAGCCCGAATGCTGCCTGGTTCGACATGGGAGCTGCCTCACGCACCTGCTGCACGACCGTCTGGTCGTCGTCCAGGGTCTCCTGCTGTTGCGCCGAGTACCCGATCTTCATGCTGGGACCGACGCGAATGTCCTCGGAGTCCCACTCCCCGCGCTCGACGATGTCGCGCAGCAGCGTGCTCTTCCCACTGCCATTGGCTCCGACCAGTGCGACCGTCTCGCCTCCGTTCACCTCCATCTCAGCCTTGTCGAAAAGAATGTCTTCGCCATACCCCCGCGTGTAATCTCGCACGTGGATCGCGATGTTGGCTCGCGTGGGCGCCGATTCGAAGTGGGTGCGGATGGCGGACGTGTCCATCTCCGGCTTATCCACCGCTTGTCGTCTCTCGCGCTCAAGCTGTGAGCGACGGGCCCTCAGACGTCTTCCCCACGCGGGGTCTGAGTTTGCCCTCGCGATCTGCTCGAAGCGGTGAACAAGCGCCTCCAGGCGCGCCAGACGCTTCTGGTTGGCGATGTAGTCGGACTGCTGCGAAAGCAGGTCTCGGAGACGCTGCGCGCGGTACGCCGAGTAGTTCCCATCGTAATGGGTGATGCGTCCGTGTTCCAACTCCAGGATGCCGCTCGCCACCCGGTCCAGGAGGTACCGGTTGTGCGATACGACAAGTACTGCTCCCGTGAACCTGAGTAGGAAGTCTTCCAGCCACGCCATTCCGTGAAAGTCCAGGTGATTGCCGGGCTCGTCGAGCAGCAGCAGGTCAGGCTTGGCCAGCAGCGCACGGGTCAGGGAGAGCACGTTCTGCTCACCGCCCGAAAGCGAGCCGACTCGCTGGGCCTTCTTTCCCTCCAGGCCCATGCTCGCCAGCATTGAACCGGCCTCATCGACGAAACGCTCGCCGTCCATACGGTCGTGCGCGTCCAGGGCATTCTGGTAGGCATCGAGCGCCCGACCCGTGTCGACTTGGCCCCCCGACTCCAGGCCGCGTTCGGCGCGGCGCAGCTCCTCACGACGCGGTTGTAGTCTTCCAGCAGGAAGTCCTCGCACCGTGACTGACTCGTCGGCGTCAACGTACTGCGGTACGTAGCCGACCGTGGTGGATTGGGGGTACGACCACGGACCCGGACGTGGGCTCTTCTCTCCCCGTCAGTACCTTGAGCAGAGTGGTTTTGCCCGATCCGTTTCTGCCGATCAGACCCAGCTTATCGTTCTCGTCGATCTGGAAAGAGACCCCGTCGAGCACGATCTGGGAGCCATAGTGAGCGGATACATTATTGAAGCTGGCAACCAGCATGAATAGCCTTCTCCAGGTGGGTTGGGAGGCGCATCGCACAACGGGACATATGTGCGATGGAACAGAGGCCGCAAATCAGCGGCCCAGCGGCGATTGTGGCTGCGAGCCCGGGGCAAAACGCGGAGCGGTACCGTACGTCGTGATCTCAGACCACAAATGGGGGCACGAATAGAAGCGAGCTACGGGCGGACAGCTAGTCTTTCAAGCCCGGATTCTCCCGGACAGGTGCAGTTGGAGGGCGCTCGGGGGCGACGGCTAGAAGCCTGATCCAGATCCGCCCCTGGAGTCGAGATACTTCTGCCAGGCATCGGCGACAGACTGTTCCTGGCCTTCAAGAGGCAACTCATCCTCTTCGTCGAGCTCCGGAATAACGGTCTCGACGAATGGGTCGCCGCCCATGTCTCGGAGGTACTGCAGGAACCTCAACGCCGTGGAGAGCTCTTCTTCCGGCAGTTCCTCGACGAGTTCGTGTATGGAGTTCTTGATGACCATTGCCGTCCTATCCTGGACTCATGACTTGGCGCCCACCATCACATTGTATCACTGATGATAACAATCAGTTATCAGTTTTCTGGTCTTTGGTCAAGTATGTTGTTAACTGGGAGACCGTACCGGATCAGTGGGTGTCGCTCTCCAGCTCGGGAGGCAGCTCTACACTATCGCCTGAATTAGGATGCGTTCATAGCGGCTGATATAGTGAAAGAAGGGAGTTGTAGGAATGACGACACACATGAACAGGGATCGACCGCAGATGCCACAGGGCTACGGCGTAGGCGATCCCCAGTACGGATTCGAGCCTATCGAGTGGTCGTGGGTCGCGAATCAAATGTCGGAAGCTCGTAACTACTGGGTAGCTACCACACGGCCGTCCGGCCACCCTCACGTCGTTCCAGTGTGGGGAGTATGGTTATGTGACCTCTTCCACTTCTTCACGGACAGCGACTCGTTGAAGGCCCGCAATATCCGGCGTGATCCCAGGGCCGCGGTACACTTGGAGAGCGGCGATCAGGTCGTCATCCTGGAGGGCGAACTGGAGTCAAAGCCGGCGACAGCCGAAATAGTCAGCGCATACGAGGCCAAGTACGACATGTCACTCGGAGAGTCTCCAGGCGACGTGTACACGCTGAACGCGGCCAAGGTGCTAGCGTGGACCGAAAGCGACTTTCCAAAGACAGCCACCCGATGGCAGACGTGACTTCCCGGTTCTCTGTGCTTCCGGCGCATAGTCTACAAGCGGCAGCCCAATGACGACTTACGACCACCTCACGATCACAGACGGCGACCTGTTCTTCGATATGCTCGGACACGATGCAGTGTTCAGAGAGTGCAACTTCGACGAGGCGGACTTCCAGAACATCGAAACCGATTCGCTGACGATCGACGATTGCACGCTCAGAATGGCGGACCTCACCAACCTGGTCTGCCCAACCCTGCGCGTCAGCAATTCCATCGCCGAGCGCGCGATCATGCGTCGTATCGAAGCTCACGACGCCGAAATCACCGGTTGCAACCTTACGTCTGCCAAGCTCAGCAATGCCAGTTCAACCTGGCTCGAATCATAGACTCCGATCTATCGGGTGCCGATCTGGACGGCGCTAACCTGTTTGGGGTGGACCTCACGGGGTCGCGACTGAGGGGCGTGGACCTCGCCGGTGCCAGGCTGGACGGCCTGAAGATCAAGCGCACGGACTTCAGCCTGGCGTCACTGCGCGGCCATAGCTTCAAAGGCCAGAGACTTGAGGGCATCAACTTAACCGAGGCCGACCTCGGCGGCTGCGACTTCACCGATGTAGTCTTCGAGGACTGTCACCTCGCGGGCGCGTTCGTGGATGAGCAGACAAGTTCGACGGCGCCGACTTTCGAGGAGCCGTGATCTCCGGGGCGCACCTGGTACGGGCCAGCCTCCGGGGCGCAGTCATGCTGCCGTCTCAGGTCAGCACAATGGTCTTCGACGGATTCGGAATAGTCGTCTTCGACGGCTGAGGCAAAGCGCCTAGTAGTAGACGAAGTTGCCAGCACCGCCGGTTGCAACGATCAGCTCACCCGTGACCGCCCACGCCTTGTCGGACGCCAGGAACGTGGTCACGTAGGCAACCTCATCCGCGTCCACCATTCTGCCAATGGCATTTCCTGAGGGCGAGCCGGGAGCGAAGTCGCGCCGTTCGACCTCATCTGCGGAGATGCCTATCTCGGCTCCGCGCTCCTCCAATATGCCGGGGGTGCGCTCGGTGCGCGTTGTTCCCGGATGAATGCAGTTTACGGTGATGCCGAACGGGCCGAGTTGTAACGCGAGCGTCTTGGTCAAGTGCACCATCGACGTGTTGCGCGCGCCTCCGCTGAGGTTGCCTGCCCTCCGTGCATTCGTGCCGCTGATGTTGATGATCCGGCCCCAGCCCCGCTCCTTGAGGTGCGGGATGGCCGCCTTGGCGCACCTCAGCGCACCGACGTACTTCACGTCGAAGTCGCGGAGCAGGTCATCCTCGTCGACCGTCTCCACCGGGCCGACCGCTGACGGCGACCCACCCGGCAGCGACGCGCTGTTGACCAGTATGTGGAGTCCGCCCAACTGTGCGGCAGCATCGTCAACCATCCTAGTCGACTGCTCGGTGCTCGTCGCGTCGAAGACGAGCGGTATGGCCCGCCTCCCGGTCAGTTCCCGGATCTCGGCAGCGGTTCGCTCCAGCTGTTCGGCATTGCGCGCCGCGATCGCCACGTCCGCGCCCTCCCGGGCCAGGTCGATCGCGATCGCTTTGCCGATGCCCCGGCTGCCTCCGGCTACCAGCGCCAGCTTGTCATTTAGTCCCATATCCACTTTGGCTGCCTCCTTGGTTGGTCGCTCTCTTTTCCTAATACTCTCCCATCAGGAGCCAGGAGACAAGGTCAGTGAAAACTACCAGTTAACACTTCTGCAACATTAACGTAACAAGAATGTTACACGTCAGAAAAGAGTTGGAAACAATCGTAGCCTACGGTCTTAAGTTGAAGGTTATAGGCCCCCATCTTCCTGAGGAGGTAAGTCAATTGTTCAACACAGGGGTTTTTAGGTTTAACACCGTTTAAGCTCCGGCTCGTGATGCTGGCGTTGCTGGCTGCCGGGATATTCCTCGGCACCATAGGAACCGCCTACGCGCAGGACATGACCATAGGTGAAGTCGACTCGAAGGTCGAGAATCTCATTACGGTCATTGCAGCTGCGCTGGTCTTCTTCATGCAGGCCGGATTCGCGTTTCTTGGCGCGGGGCTGATCCGCTCCAAGAACACGGTCAACTACATGACCAAGTCGTTCCTCGACTTCTGTATCGCGTCGCTCGGATTCTGGGCATTCGGCTTCGCGCTCATGATGGGCGGCGGCGCCGCATCCGGGATCATCGGCCTTGAGGGTTTCTTCCTGGTCGACTTCGATGACTCCCAGCTCGTCAGCTGGTTCTTCCAGATGGTCTTCGCCGGGACTGCCGCGACGATTATCGCCGGCGCGATGGCGGAGCGGACCAAGATCAACGCCTACTTCGCGTACAGCTTCATCGTCGGTGCCGTGGTTTACCCGATCTACGGCCATTGGGCATGGAGCGACGAAGGATGGCTCGCCTCGATGGGCATGGCCGACTACGCGGGCTCCGCGGTCGTCCACATGATCGGGGGCTTCCTTGCGCTGGCCGGCGCGATAATCGTCGGACCCAGAAAGGGATTCCGAGAGGGCGCCGACCTCAAGGGGACACAGCATACCATACGTCGTCATCGGCACGTTCATCCTGTTCTTCGGTTGGTTCGGATTCAACGTCAACTCTGGCAGCCTGGGACTTAACGCGGTCAATACGCTTCTGGCAGGAGCCGCCGGAGCGACCGCGGCCATCTACATCACACTGGTCCGCACGGGCAAGGCCGACATCGAGATGGCGTGCAACGGCGCGCTGGCGGGACTCGTTGGCATAACGGCAGGCTGCGCGTACGTCGATACCTGGGCAGCGGTGGTCATCGGCCTGATTGCGGGCGGCATCATGATCGCCGGAGTCTCGTTCATTAAGAACGTGGTCAAGGTTGACGATCCTGTGGGCGCTGTTGCGGTACACGGCATATGCGGAGCCTGGGGCGTCTTGGCTGTAGGCATCTTCGCATCCGGCCACAACGGCGTTGAGGGCCTGATCGCGGGCAACGTCGGTCAGCTGGGACCGCAGATTGTTGGAATCATCGTAGCCATGGCCTGGGGTCTGGGCATCGGACTCATTCTCTTCAAGGCCATAGACCTCACAATGGGTCTCAGGGCCTCCGATGACGAGGAGGAGGGTGGTCTCGACGAGTCGGAGCACGGCGCGACGGCATACCCGGAATTGGCCAACTAAACACTCGATGACAGGATTCGGCGACTAGAGACGATTACATTTCCCTCAGTAGTAGGTCCCGACCGTTCCAAGGGGGCTTGAGCGGTCGGGACCTCTTCCTTTTTCATGCGCTATTTTTGATGCTGGGGGCTTTGTGACGTGTAACACAAAGTTAACATCTGCGTAACACCGTCGAAACAAAGCGCTGGAATAATGTGAAACATAGAACAAACGAGGGGCCGGGCGAACACCGGCGCCCACAGATCTTCAACAGGAGCAAGTCACACAATGGACATAGAAGCAATACTCGGCGGCGTAGTTTTCTTGGGACTGTTCGGACTCTGGGTGGTCCTTCCCAGCAAGCTGCGCAAGAATAGAGAGTAACCAAAACCCAGATCGCCGTTGGGGTGGGCGAAACCAACTACTCGGCGGTATCGTCAGACCAAAGCCCCTTTGTTAGAATGGCGCCTGATCGATTACCGGTCAGGCACATTTCATTTACGAGGGGTTCTCACAACAGTCAGTCCAAGCCCCTGACCGGCTGACAACCGGTGAGGACAGAGGTAATAGCAAGGAGTAGAGAGATGACGCCAGAAGAAGTCATAAAATTTATACATGATGAGGGAGTTGAGATCATCGATCTCAAGTTCACCGACGTTCCGGGCACCCTGCAGCACGTCGGGGTTCCCCCAAACGAGGTCAACGAGGACCTCTTTGCGTACGGCACCGGCTTTGACGGGTCGAGCATCCGGGGTTTCCAGACCATCGATGAGAGCGACATGCTCATCGTGCCGGACGCCAGCACCGCCAACATCGACCCTGTCTACAAAATCAAGACGCTCAGCCTGCTCTGTAACATCCGCGATCCCCTCACCGGCGCCGACTACAGCCGCGACCCCAGGAACATCGCGAAGAAGGCTGAGGCCCATCTGAAGTCCACCGGCATCGGCGACACCAGCTTCTGGGGACCTGAGGCCGAGTTCTTCATCTTCGACTCCGCCAGCTTCAGCCAGGACTCGCATTCCTCCCACCACAGCGTGGACTCGGACGAGGGCATCTGGAACTCTGGCAACGAGTACATGCTCGACGGCAAGACGCGCAGCACGGGCTACAGGCCGCGCTACAAGGGAGGCTACTTCCCGTGCCGCCTGTGGACACTCTGAGCGACATCCGCTCCGAGATGGTCATCGAGATGCAGAAGTTTGGCATGAAGATCGAGAAGCACCACCACGAGGTCGCCACCGCCGGACAGGGCGAGATCGACATCGTGTACGACACGCTGGTCAAGACGGCCGACAACATCATGATCTACAAGTACCTGGTCAAGAACGTCGCCGCACGGCACGGCAAGACCGCGACGTTCATGCCCAAGCCGCTGTTCGACGACAACGGCACCGGAATGCACACTCACCAGAGCATCTGGAAGGACGGCACCACATCTTCTACGGCGACGGTTATGCCAATATGAGCGACACGATGAAGTACTACATCGGCGGTCTGCTCAGGCACGCTCCGGCGCTTCTGGCGTTCGCGGCCCCGACCACCAACTCCTACCGTCGGCTGGTGCCCGGATACGAGGCCCCGGTGAACCTGGCGTACTCGTCCAGAAACCGCAGCGCGTGCTGCCGTATCCCGGCCTACTTCGACACGCCGCCCACCAAGCGCATCGAGTTCCGCTGCCCCGACCCGACGGCTAACCCGTATCTCGCATTCAGCTCGATGCTGCTCGCCGGCCTTGACGGGATCAACAACCAGATCGACCCGGGCGACCCGATGGACGTAGACCTCTACGACCTGTCGCCCGAAGAGGCTGCGAACGTGCAGCAGGTGCCCGGGAGCCTCGAAGAGTCGCTGAACGCGCTGGAGGAAGATCACGAGTTCCTGCTGACCGGGAACGTGTTCACGTCCGACCTGATCGAGACCTGGCTGGACTACAAGCGCACAGAGGAAGTGGACGCCATTCGGCTGCGGCCGCACCCGTACGAGTTCTTCCTCTACTACGACGCCTAGACCAACAGGTCAGGGCATAAGCTAAATAGAGGGGCGACCCGCACTGGGACGCCCCTCGTCGATTACCGTCGATTCTCGGTTACCGGATCGCGTAATGAACCGATCAGAAAGCTCAGCGACACAGCGATGTTTCCTGTTCCCAAACAGGTTGCAGTGCCCCTGTCCAAGATTGACACAACTTTCACAAAGTGCTAAATTTTGCTATGATTTTCTTCGGTGTGGAAGTGCGCCCCGTGACTAATGCGTCCCCCGCGAGACGCGGGGCTCAATCTGCAAATTTCCGAAGGGTCAGCCCCGCTCCGACCGCTTAGATTCAGGTCTTTCCTATGGTAGATCGCGACCTCGCAATTGAATACGCGCTCAAAGAGGCTAGGGACAACGATGTTAAGTTCATCCGCCTCTGGTTTACCGATATTCTAGGTAACCTCAAAGGGTTCGCGATAACCGTCGAAGAGTTTGAATCGGCGCTGACGAGGGGAATGGGCTTCGACGGCTCCGCAGTTGAAGGATTTGCACGCGCCGAGGAGAAGGATCTCTACGCGCTGCCTGACCCAAACACGTTCGCAATCCTTCCCTGGCGTCCTCGCGAGAACGCCGTCGCTCGTGTGTTCTGCGACATCATAACGCCGGAGGAGACTCCCTTCGAGGGCGACCCCAGGTTTGTACTAAGGCGCAACATGGAGCGCGCCGCCAGCATTGGATATACATACTACGTGGGTCCGGAAATCGAGTACTTCTACTTCCACGACAATTCCAATCCCACTCCAATGGATGGAGGCGGATACTTCGACCAGTCAGCGACAGACCTCGCAACCGACATGCGGCGTGAGACCGTGCTCATGCTCGAAGAGCTTGGAATCCCGGTCGAGGCCAGCCACCATGAGGTTGCTCCGAGCCAGCACGAGATCGACCTGCGCCACACGGATGCACTGACGATGGCCGATAACGTTATGACCTACAAACTGGTCGTAAAAGAGATCGCTCAGCGTCACGACTGCTACGCGACCTTCATGCCCAAACGATTGCAACCGTCAATGGAAGCGGAATGCACATTCATCAGTCGCTCTTTGAAGGCGGACGCAACGCGTTCTACGACGCCGAAGACTCCGAGCGGCTGTCGAGCGTCGCCAGGCACTTCATTGCCGGGCTGCTGAGACACGCCCGTGAGATCTCGGCAGTCACCAACCAGTGGGTCAACTCCTACAAGCGTCTGGTCCCCAATTTCGAGGCTCCGGTCCATGTGACCTGGGCCACGGTCAACAGGGCGGACCTGGTCCGTGTACCCAGTTACAAGCCGGGCCGCGAGGAATCTCGTCGAGTCGAGTTTCGCTCGCCGGACCCAGCGTGCAACCCTTACCTTGCATTCAGCGTCATGCTCGCCGCGGGACTCGAAGGCATCGAGAAGAAGTACGAGCTTCCCGACCCCACCGGCGCCGACGTGTTCGACATGACCGACGCCGAGCGGAAGGCTCACGGTATCGAGTCGCTCCCGTCGAATCTGCTGGAAGCTCTCAGGATAACCGAAGAGAGCGAGTTGGTCCGCAACGCCCTTGGAGACTCTGTATTCAAGAGCTTCGTGGAAAACAAGAAGATCGACTGGGAACGATACAGGTCGCAGGTGACGGACTACGAGATAGCCCGATACCTGCCAACCTTGTAGGACCTTAGAGGTACTAACAGAGGTCGGTCTGCTTCCAAGTCTCAGCTGAACGATTACGTCACATGCCCCATACCGGAGACCCCAGGTAAACGCGATGAGCAGCAGCTATAACAAGGACTACACGCCCCGGCTTTCGACCGACGGCCTGTACAGCCCCGTTTTCGAACACGAAGCCTGCGGAGTTGGACTCGTCGCCAACATAAGAGGCAGGAAGTCGCACGCTGTCATCGAACAGGGTCTCGAAGTGCTGATAAATCTCGGTCATCGAGGCGCCTCAGGGGCCGACCCTGAGACCGGAGATGGCGCCGGCATCATTATCCAGATGCCTCACGAGTTCGTCGCGGCGGCATTCGGCGGAATCGGCATATCGGTGCCGGAGCTGGGCAGCTACGGTGTAGGCATGACTTTCCTACCTCGGGATGCCGAAGAGCGATCCCGATGCGAGGCAGCCGTCGAAAGGATCGTCGCGGCGGAGGGCCAGCGCTTTCTGGGATGGCGTGATGTTCCCGCCTCGCCTGGCAGGATTGGGACTCTGTCCGCGCGTGTGATGCCGACCATCAGGCAATTCCTCGTTGGACGCTCCGAGTCCACCGAATCAGGTCGAGATTTCGAGCTGCGCCTATTGGTCATTCGCAAGCAGATCGAGAAGGCGATTCTGGGAGACGACCTCTCGGCGCAGAGCGACTTCTACGTATGCAGCCTGTCGTCGAGGACCATTGTTTATAAGGGTCTGGTAATGGCCCACCAGCTCCAGGACTTCTACCACGATCTCAAAAACGAAGAGATGACGACGGCGTTCGCCCTCGTCCACTCTCGTTTTCTCAACAAACACCCTTGGCTCATGGAAGCTGGCCCACCCGTACAGATTCATCATCCACAACGGAGAAATAAACACTCTCCAGGGCAACATCAACTGGATGGCCGCCAGGGAGAAGAACTTCGAGTCCGACATCTTCGGCGACGACGTCGGTAAGCTAACTCCGATAGTCACGCCGCTGCAGAGCGATACCGCCACGTTGGACAACGCCCTCGAGGCGCTTCTGGCGTCTGGACGCTCTCTGGACCACTCGATGATGATGCTGATCCCCGAGGCGTGGGGAGATCACATACCTATGGATCAGGCCAAGAAGGGCTTCTACGAGTTTCACTCGTCCATGATGGAGCCGTGGGACGGCCCCGCGCTGGTCATTGCAACTGACGGCGACAATGTCTGCGCCGTGCTCGATCGCAACGGTCTCCGACCATGCCGCTACCTGGTGACGACGGACGACATTCTGGTCATGGGGTCCGAGACTGGCGTGCTGGACGTGCCCGTCGAGAAGGTCCTCTATAAGGAACGCATTTACCCTGGTCGCATGTTCATGCTCGACACAGAGCGCGGGGAGATAGTGCAGGACTCCGAGCTCAAGGCCAACCTCTCGGCGAGACGTCCTTATGGACAGTGGCTCGAAGACAACATGGTGCTCCTGGAAGACCTTCCAAATCCGGCAGATGTCCACGGCACAGACTTTGCCACTCTCGCTCGTAGACAGGCGGCGTTTGGGTACACGCTTGAAGACCTTCGTGTGATCCTGGAGCCGATGGCCTTAACGGGCGCGGACCCGGTCGGCTCGATGGGTACGGATGTCCCACTGGCGATCATGTCAGACCAGTCCCCCGTGCTGTTTCACTACTTCAGACAGCGGTTCGCACAGGTGTCGAACCCGCCTCTGGATTCGATCCGCGAAGAGCTTATTACGTCCACGCGCGCCATGATCGGGCGCGAGAGGAATCTGTTCGACGAAACTCCAGAGCACTGCCGCCAACTCACGATAAAAGAGCCGTTCATTACCAACTCTGATCTGGAGAAGATCAGGGAGATCGACGTCAACGGCATCAGTTCGAAAACCCTTTCAATGTTGTTCGATCCCGAAGAGCGTGGCGGTCTGAGGGCGGCGATGGGCAGGCTCTGTCGGGAGGCATCGCAGGCCATCGAAGAAGGGTACTCGATTCTGATTCTCTCGGATCGCGGTGTGGACTCCAATTACGCGCCGATTCCCAGCCTGCTGGCCACTGCCGGTGTTCACCATCATCTCATTCGTGAAGGAACGCGGACTCGTTGCGGCCTGGTTGTGGAGTCAGGGGAGCCACGCGATATCGCGCATCTCGCCCTGCTCATCGGCTATGGCGCCGGGGCCATTAACCCATACCTGGTCTTCGAGTCGATGGACAACATGATTCGTGAGGACTACTTCCTGACCAGCATCGACTACAAGACCGCGGAGAAGAACTTCATCAAGGGCGCCCACAAGGGCGTCGTTAAGATCATGGCCAAGATGGGCATCTCCACTATCCAGAGCTATCGGGGCGCGCAGATTATTCGAGGCCGTCGGACTCGACGAAGAGTTCATTGACGAGTACTTTACCTGGACGCCTTCACGCATTGGCGGTATCGGCATCGACGAGATTGAAGAGGAGTCCAGAGTCAGGCACTCGTTCGCTTACGTAGATCTCGTCACACCGGGAAGTATGCAGCTCGACGCGGGTGGATTCTACCAATGGAGACGCGACGGTGAGTACCACATGTGGAATCCCACCACGATCGCGAAGCTCCAACATGCCGCGAGATCGAATAGCTGGGCGACCTACCAGGAGTTCGCTGAGTGGGCCAACGACTACGCTCAGCAGATGTGTACGATTCGAGGTCTCCTCGAATTCAAGCCCGGCGATGAGCCTCTTTCTCTGGACGAAGTAGAGTCTGCCTCGGAGATCGTCAGGCGGTTCGCTACAGGCGCAGTTTCCCTCGGTTCCATCAGCAGGGAAGCGCACGAGGCGCTGGCGATCGCGATGAACCGGATAGACGCACGGTCCAACACAGGTGAGGGCGGCGAGGACTGGCATCGCTACAAGCCTGACTCCAATGGCGACCAGCGGAACAGCGCGATCAAACAGGTCGCCTCAGGTCGCTTCGGTGTCACCATAAACTACCTGGCAAACGCCAAAGACCTCCAGATCAAGATGGCGCAGGGCGCCAAGCCCGGAGAGGGCGGACAGCTCCCCGGCCACAAGGTGGACGAGTACATAGGCTGGGTGCGCAATTCGACGCCTGGCGTAGAGCTCATCTCGCCTCCTCCGCACCATGACATCTATTCGATCGAGGATCTGGGACAGCTCATCCACGACCTGAAGAACTCGAATCCCAACTCCAGGATAAACGTCAAGCTGGTCGCGGAAGCCGGAGTCGGTACAATCGCCGCCGGTGTCTCTAAGGGGCATGGCGACGTCGTCCTGATCAGCGGCGACAGTGGCGGGACCGGAGCTTCCCCGGAGGCGTCGATCAAGTACGCTGGACTGCCCTGGGAACTCGGCGTTGCCGAAACCCAGCAGGTTCTGGTCGAAAACGACCTGCGCGGTCGGATAGTCGTCCAGACAGATGGGCAGATCAAGACCGGCCGTGACGTGGCTATCGCGTGTCTGCTCGGTGCGGAAGAGTTCGGTATGGCCACCGCGCCGCTGATTGCAATGGGCTGCATCATGCTCCGCAAGTGTCACCTGAACACCTGCTCAGTTGGCATCGCCACACAGGACCCAGAGCTTCGGAAGAGGTTCGCGGGCCAGCCGGAACACGTCATCAACTACTTCTTCTTCCTTGCCGAGGAACTCAGGCAGATTATGGCCGAGATGGGGTTCCGCACGATC